AATATATACTTACTAATATTTTTTAAGGATAAATTTAAGAGTTTTACCTAAACAAACCAAGATTTCGGAGAGATCTTGGACTATTTTCTATGTGGGCCGTTTTCTCAGGGAACCGTTTAAAAAATCTATAAAACTTTTCCTGTGGGAATTTTCTCTTTTTCTTTTAAGTAGATCTTAGGCTCTGTTTGGTTACATGTTAATTTTATTAGGAATGTATTATATGAAAAAATTAGTAAATTTTGTAATAAAAATTTATTAAAAATTTGTTAAATTGTTAATTTTTTAATATTTAGTTAAGAGCTTGACGTAAGAAAATACTTGTAAAAAAAATAGTTAAGTGAGTTTCTATGAAAATAGTTAAAAAACTTCTTCTTTTAGGATGTATAAGAAGAAAAATTAATTAGTTAAAAATTATATTAAAATATAAAAAATAAAAATATTATTTTATTATATTTTATTAATATTAATCTATAAAAATATAAAAATAACCTTAAAAAGTTCAAATCAAACGTCGCTTTAGATTGAGATTTCCAGCTGTTGTTCACCAAGAGAAGAAAAAAAAAAAATATCCGAACAGTAAAATGGATGAAAAAGGTTGTCTATAAATAATAAAAAAGCAAAAAACAAAAAATTAAAAATTCAGAAGAGAGGTTCTGGTTCTGTCCAAAGGGGTCCCACAATCTGAGCACTTTTTTATTTTTCCCTTTTTTTTCTCAGAACAGCCATGTTTTTCTCCATCTTCTTCCTCCTCTTCCTCCTCTTCCTCTCCCTCTACCTCTACCTGTCCTTCTCAGGGATCCCTGAATTTGCCCACCCTTCATTTGTCCATCATTTTTGCTCTTTGGAATCTGTTCTTCTCTGTCTCGATATGCCTTCTCCTTTCACATAGCTTCATATTTCTTCACATTCACCCTCTTTACGCGCAGGTCATCTTTCATCTCTTTCCATTTTTGTGTTTCACTAGTTTTAGTAATGAAATTACCGTTTCCTATGATCCTATCTTGGTTGGCTGTGGATATTTCTTAAATTTGTCAATAGGAAATTCCATTTTGGCATCTGGGTTTTGGTGATTTTGAGCTTCTGCAAGCTAATTTGTTTTGGAGGCTTTCCACTGGTTGCTTCTGGTTTTGTGATGTGGTTCTTGGGACGTATTGGGAAAATTCATGTAGAAGCGTGTTGGTGAATGGGGTTTGTGTTGAATTTGGGAGATAAATAAGAAGATGAAAAGGGGGAGAGATGATGAGAAGATTATGGGACCGATGTTCCCTAGGCTTCATGTTAACGATACAGAAAAAGGAGGTCCAAGAGCACCTCCCAGGAATAAGATGGCCCTCTATGAGCAACTGAGTATTCCTTCTCAGAGGCTCAATCCTGGGGTCGTGCCTCTTAACCGCAGTAACTCCGGAAGTTTCGTTCCCCATGGTTCCTCAAGCCAGGTAATTTTTGAAATTTTGTCTCTGATTTGTTTTTATTATTATTATTTTTTAAATTCCTAGAGTGTTTAATTTTGTTTAATGGTCTTTGTAATTTTTGATTATCATGGGCAATTAATGCTTTAAGGGAAGTAGCCTTGAAAGGAATATGCTCTTTCCTGACGTACCTTCTTCTACACCCACTGTTCAGGGCCTTCAGGCTAAGAAGTTTCATACTTGCCAGCTCGAAGGAGCAGGTATGAATGCTTCCGAGGCGTCGTTTGAGCAGAGAAAGAAGACAAGAGAAGAGAATGATTTCAGGGTACCTGTATTGAACACAGGGATGGGTCAACGTCATAGTAGAAATCAGAACAGCGTTGAGGACGGAAAGCTCGATCCCTTAAGCCGGACTTATGCTGGCCGTTCAATAAAACGCCAAAATGGCAGGAGGAATCCAAATCGGAGCAGTTCTTCAGTCATCAATTTAAGAAAAGAGGTTAGAGAGCAGGGTGAAGAAAGTTCCAAAGTATCCACCAGACAAAAGTTTGATGGGCCCAAAGCATCTCCCTCTCAAGATTGTGGAGGTCTTCCTGCATCCAGGTTTATCAGCTTGCATGGTAATGATGATTGTTCCAGAACTGATGTTCAAACAAAAGATAATGGTTGTGTTGATCGTGTTGAGTCTGTAAGAGATATTGACAACAATAGAGTTCTTCCCCAACCAAGAAGTGTGTCTCATTTAGTGGAGGATCGCGGCAGCCCTGATGAACCTAATAATGAAAGTGAATGTCGTGAAGTTGAGATATGTGCACTACACGTAGTAAATGGTGAACAAAGTGATGATGTTTCTGAGACATCCATGGTGGATTCTGTATCAGGTGTGGATATCTCCCCTGATGACGTAGTCAGAGTAATAGGTCAGAAACATTTTTGGAAAGCAAGAAGAGCAATTGTCAAGTAAGTTTTTATTCAAATTGTTGGTTTTTCAATTCTTTTTCTTTCTGGTGATTTAAATTTGCGAATTTCTTGTGAAAAGTTTCTATCTTTATATTAACTTGTATTAACAACAGAACTTTGGTGCTTTATCAAACATAGAAAACTGAAAACATTAATGCACACTCCCCCACTAGGAGCATATCTTGGTTCTTTAGGAGGGGTGGAACAGGAAATTCTAGTGAAATAGATGAGACACGTGGGGTTTTGGAAGCCACTTTCTTTGTGGAATGGTCATGGACTCATGGTCTTATGTTCAGTTGCAATGGCTCTGTTTTTAAGGTTTGTTTGTAGTCTTTTTTTTTTTTTTTGGTAGAAATTCTCAAATTACCGGCCAAGGACCTTCCTTTGGCTGGACAAACTTTTTGTAGATTAATATTTCCATGTAAAACAAAAAAGTGAAACGCTCCCATAATAATCAAATTCCATGAAAACATAATCCAATGAATGTCTTGTTTGTTTATAACTTGGATGTGATTATTATAATGTAGCTATGTTTCCTAACTCTGATGCTTTACAGCTTTAGTGACCTATTTTACCCTGTTCTTCATCTAAAAGCTATGGCAATAGTAATGGAGGTAAGAAATATTAGGAACCTTTCTTACATATTATAGTTACATTAGATTGCTACATGCAATAGGCATTAGTAATAAAAGTGTTTTATGAATCCTATTCCATGGAGGGCTGGAAACTTGGCATTGATGGAGGTGAGAATTTATACCATGGAGTCCTGGGATTCCTCCCCAAGTGGCAATTTTTGTGTTCAGAGCCCTCAATAACATTTTAACAGTGGATCATCTTACAGCATGGAAAGGACTATCCTAATTCGTGCAAGGCAATCCCCAAGACAGTGGATCATCTCATTAGTCCATTTTCTGCTAATCTGCTATTTGGATATAATCCTGTCTCAGTTTGGTTTCTGCTTATCCCTGTGATCCTTAGAAGTTTCATTTCAAGCTCTCAAGGGCTTGGAGCTGGAGGAGAACAAGCTGTGGAGGATTATACCTGGAGCTAATGATGGGTGGATCTTAGAGGAGAGAGACTGCAGAATGTGTGACAATTTGATTGCTTGTGAATGTAGTGGCAAAAGTATTGTGTGTAATGTAGTATCTTCTTGGTGTTCTGTGTTGGAGGACTTCACTGGGGCTGGGATGCATAATCTGAATGTCTGAGTTTAGCCGTTTTACTCATAGCCTCTACTTGTTGTTCTGTATGGGTTTTTTAAATTGCAATGCTTTAGTTGCCTATATCTTATGTTTCAGTTATATGGTACTAAAGATGTTTTGTTGCGTTGCATGCTGGTTTGTGACTGCAAAGAATTTTATTCTTTACCTATATTGAATTATTTTTATCACAAAAGCTGTTTCTTGTGTTTAGTTTTTGCATGATGCAATGCCTTCAATATATAATTTTAAAATTTCCAGGAGCATTGTTTTTTCCTGATGTATAGTTATGTATTTTGTGCCATATGCTCTTGCCTTCTTGTGTTCATTTGATTCTTGTTCACTACCATGGAGCATAAGGGATATATTGTGGAGGGCAAGAGCATTTTAAGTCTAGGGCGAACCTTCTAGGCCTCTGTCACCCAGAAGGAGATGTTTAATTTGAAAGGGTAGGACTCCACCCCTCCCTGGAGAAGAGAAAAGAGTGAGAACAAGTCAGGTGAAATTTTAGATGTCAACCTAATAATTTAACTTCTTTCAAGTCTGGATGTATCTCATTTGGATAATTCTTCTGTTGAATAATCCTTTATAAACAATGCTATCTTATTCTTGATTGCAATCATGTCCAGATGGTTTCATCTTTCACCTACTGTAGTTTGTGTTTGTTAAAGCTAAATTGTTACGAATTCTCTGTATTTATTTCTTTTGATCCAACTTCTGTTACTCTCTACAGTCAACAAAGAATGTTTGCAGTTCAAGTTTTTGAGTTGCATAGACTAATTAAGGTATGCTAGTGCTTGACCTTGTTCAGTAGCTTCTACTGGTTCCTATAGGGGATACAGATTACTTTATTAGAACATCTATTCCGTTTCATTTATCTATAGAAATAGGCTTATTATTCTGAGTTTCTAACAGGTCCAAAGGCTGATTGCTGGATCACCACATGTTTTGCTTGAGGATGGTGCATATCTGGGTAAACCTTCTTTCAAGGGCTCTACTGCGAAGAAACTTACTTCAGAGTATGCTGTAAAACCAGTCCTGCAAATTAAGTGCAAGGATGATTCTGAGAAGCCAAGCCATAAACTTGAATGTTCAGCAGAAAATGCAGTTGGCAGGACGTGTCTCTCTTCGGTGAAAAATGGTAGCCAGCCTTCAAATTATGGGCCATACATTGAAAATCCTTCCCCAGCTCCCATTCCCATTGATAACAAAACAAATCCTTCTTGTTTCCATCAATTGCCTGGGCATCAGTGGTTGGTCCCTGTCATGTCCCCTTCTGAAGGACTTGTATACAAACCCTATACTGGACCTGGGTTTACAGGAACAGTTAGTGGAGGATGTGGACCTTTTGGACTGTCTCCCAAGACAGGCAACTTCATGATTCCAGCCCCCCATAATCATCAGTATCATCAAGGATTGGGGTTTCTACCAGGTGCTCCTCCTGTAGGTCAAGTTTACTTCCCTCCATACGGAATGCCAGTTATGAACCCATTAATTTCAGCTTCAACCATGGAACAGATGAACCAATTTGCCCAGCCTGGTTCACATGGGCATGCCAATTGGCTATCTGGAGGGGCAGCTAATTTCAACACCCAACAGCAAGGCTCATGTAACTTGCCTGCTGAGAATAATGGTGCTATTTCACGTATGAGGAAGTCAAAGGACACTGAGCTACAGGGGAGCACTGCCAGTACTCCCAGTGAGAGAATACAAGGGGATCCTGGGATCGGTAATGCTACTGAAGGAAGAAATGCACTCCCTCTTTTCCCTATGGTCCCAGCTGCCCCGGAGGGAGCCTCCCAGCCTCATGATGCTGACCAGCAAACAAGAGTGATCAGAGTTGTACCACATAATCCTAGATCCGCTACTGAATCAGCAGCTAGAATTTTCCAATCTATAGAGGAAGAGAGAAAACAGCATGACTCTGTTTAGCTTCAAACAAACTACATCTTGGTAAATGGTCTGTAACTCATTTAGCTGGATGCTTCTCTTGGTGATCTTCTGTGTGCGTTTTTAGCAATGTTCTGTAACATTTTTTTTTGTACTACTCTGATTATAGTCTATTCATATGTAGATAGATATGTCTCTGAGAGATTACAAGTGAATGTAATATGAAATTAGTGTCCTCTTCAACACTTGTTCACATTGGATTTATTTTAGGCCATAAAGAAACCTTCCTGAAAGAGAGGATCGGTTTGTGGTTGTACCCTAAACTGTATCAATTTGACCACTAGTTTCCCTGTGACATTAATTTTTTGATCTTTCATGCATGCAAAATTGCAAATAGAATATATCTTCAATGTTTAACATTATTTTATCAGGAAGTACAAGTACTCATGGACAATCAGCATAACGACCACCACCAGGTCCTCCAAAATAGAATACTGGTTCAACGGAATAACCAGCCAAGTTAAGAGATGAATAGCAAGGGGGTTCATCAGACCAAGTGCCCACCCATTCAGGGTACTTCAGAGTTCGAGAAAAGTCCATAATTCTTACATGCTGAATAAAACATGCACCTCCAAACAGATCAGCTGCAAAACTCTCCACTTTCCATCGCAGTCTTTGTATGAGGATTCTTCATCACATTCTTACTCTAAACATCTCATCCCCATTGAACCAACGTTGAGCTGTGATTGAGGTAAAACAGCATGCTACCAGCCGGCCACTACCCCACATCTATCTCATTGAATCTTAAACACCAATTGCTCGTATTTGTATCCTACAAACTCGAAAATGAAATTTTACTGCCATCAATATGGAAAAATCAATTCAATTGATGTTGAGAGTTTTTATTTTGGTATAAGAATCAGATGTTCATTCCTATGTAACGGCAAAAGTTTTAGTATTTTACCATGAAGATGGCAACAGGGACCTGAAACTGCTCTCCAGATTTACTAGAGATAGGCTCAATGGCTGCACCAAGGGCCACCTGCGAACTTGTCTGAATGAACCCACTGCAGGTGAGATCAAAACAGCCTGTTTGCTTGTATGCATCCTTCTGTTCAATTTAAACATAAAAATATGTTAAAATAGAAAAATTTTCAGATTTCTATAATTTCTGAATTTTGATGCATTTGCACAACTTACAGTCCAATATGCAAAAAATCGGGTGCGTGTATCTCCATATAACTTGGGATTCACCTGTCAAAGTGACAAAGATGAGTATTTCTGTAACATAATGCTTTGTTTATGGTCTAAGAATAAATACAATTATGAGTTTTGTTAGCTATGATTGATTTTCAGGGAATAGTTTTCATTGAAATCAAATGGTGCTAACTAACCACCCATCCTGATTCAATGCTTTCAAAGTTGTCTCCAGGGCCTCCCCTAAGCCAAATTTGAGCAGTAGTGAAATCGTCCGGTGAATCAACCTTCGGATTCCAAATATTTATTTCTCCTCTAGCTCCAATATAGTTGTATCCAACCGTAACAAGATATGCAGTCTGTTTCCAAAAAACCAAGGAGGGGTTAACCAGCAAAATGAACAAAGTTTCATGTCAACGTTTGAGTATTTAAATAAAAGGGTACTTACAGAACGATTGGGTGTTGTTCTAGCAACTACAACTTGAGTGGTGTTTGCTTCTGTAGAGTAATTGCCATTTAAATCTTTTTGGTTTGATGTATAATGTGAGGCTTTTCTCCCAAAGGGCTCAAGAGAGGCTGCTGATCTGAGTAAGTCTTGGTTTCGGATTCTGCGGATGGGAATGGTTCCCTCCGGACAAGTTCCACTTCTTTGCCATGTCTGAAAAATCTGGTTGCTGTTACCCATCTTCTCTGTTCTTGCATCAATACTTGGTTTCATCTGCATACAGTGTTGCAGATTACCATGAAACAGAAGAGGTAAGAGGTCGAAAATTTCTGTCATTTTGCCAGAAAAGAAAGAATGGTACCTGAATCACATGACTCCTCAATGCAGGATTATCAAAAGCAGGTTGCTTGTGGATATCAACACAGTCAATGATGTCTCCATCTTCACTCTACAGGGGAGAGAACAAGAAAATCAGAATCTGAATTTTATTGCTGAATGCATTCTCAATTAATTGTGAAAAAAGGTTCAGTCAAATGTCTATAATTTGTAGATTGCAAGAGCTAAGCACCAACTGGAAAAAAAAGATTAGAACTTTTAATTTACCATACCTTTATACTCTTGACTGCAGGCTTATTGAGAAGCTTCAACTTTTTATCAACATCTGAAAGAGTTCTAGATTTGGCTTTTCCACCTGCATTTCTACTCAAACAAATTAAAGCCAGTGTCCAGAAAAGAGTAAAATTCATTCTTGCCATTTTTTCTTTCTTCCCTTCTTACTAGAAGAAAAACAATATCTATGTATGAATTGTAAGAGGCTTGTTTGGTATGGAAAACAACCTTGAAATAAGAAAGACAACGGCTATTAAGAATATAATAAATATATATTTTTTTATTATAAATTTATATTAAGAAAATAAAAGTTTATGAATGGTCCATTCCGGCCCATTGGCATTAGATTTGAATTATGACTGTTCACCTCTGTAAGTGACGTGTTTGAACTCCATGGAACTCATTTCCCCTCTCCCCGTATATACCTGTAAATAATGTCAAAATTGTTTAAAAAATAATGATAATAAAAGTTTATTTTGCTTATTAAAAATGTAATATATACACTTTTCCATATATATGTATGACAAAAAGGGAATACAACCTTTCACATAAAAGCTGAGTTACACCATTTTCAAGTTGGGATTTTAGGCAAACCCTTATGTTAAGTCTCCAAATTTGTCTTAGATTCTCAATTAAGCTCATGAATTTTTATAAAGTAAATAAATTTCTAAATTCGATAATCTGAATAATTTAACCCCTTTTTTTTAAGGTAGATTTAATGCTTGTTTGTGCTCTAAAAAAATATATGTTTTATTATTTACCTTAAAGAAAGCATCACCTTAATGAATTCAAATGTTACGGGTCATATGATTTAGTATTACAAAGAATGTCTTGTATTGAAAGTGCATTAAAAAGATTAAAATTTCAATGTGAGATTTGGAACATCATAGTAAATCTAATTCTACACTCAAAAAGAAAAGCAAAGTGCATTTAATTTAATCTAATGTACTTAGAATTGGAAATTTTAAATTCTTTAGGCAAGAGTAAACATTTTGAAGCACCGTTTTTTTTTTCTTGAACACAAAAGGTGAATTTTATTGTTAAGTGAGTGCATGGGGTACTTAATCCTTACACAGTACAATATGCAAAAACAGAAACAATATCATTCTGTCACTGCTTTCCCTTCCCAACCAACCTCTAGCCATTTTGCTATTTATTTGGGCTGCCTTGAAATCATTGTTTCATCCATAAGTGATTTTGGAGCAACTAGTTGAAGTGTATGTTCAAGACATAGGTTGAAGGTATAATTAATACATTTTTTGTCTTTAATTAATGTTAAAAATGACAAAAAGCTAACATTAATTTCATCAACAATGTCACATGAGAAATTTATCTTAGATAAAAATGAGAGTTGACATCAATGAATATTTTTGTGTTTAAGTTAATTAGGATAGTAATATGAAGAAAGATATATTGATATATAATTTTGTTTTTTTAAAAGAAAAGGATTAAAATGAATAGAAATGTTTTTATCAGGATCACAATTCCAATTGGTTGTAACTTCGGATCAGTCTCGCCATATTTTCCTACATTTCCACATGGCATACCTTCACCCAAATCATTTGCTTATAAACAGTCAAACCCGAAGAAAACCTCCTGGTGCGTTTTCTTCTAGAAACTGGTTCTCATTTATTTTAGACTACAAAGGAACCTTCCTGAAAGAGAAGGTTGGCTTTATGGATGTCCCCTAAACTGTATCAATTAGATCACTAGTGTCCCTGTGATATCAGTTTTTTGATCTTTTCATGTATGCAAATAGAATAACTTCAATCCTGACATTATTTTATCAGGGAGTACAGGTAATCATGGACACATATAATCATAACCACCGCCAGGTCCTCCAAAATAGAATACAGGTTCAACCCCATACGGTGCCCAGTTGAGAGATGAATAGCAGTAGGGTTCATCAGCCCAAGTGCTCACCCACTCAGGGTACTTTAGAGTTCGAGAAAAGTCCATAATTCTTACATGCTGAATAAAACATGCATTTCCTAAACCAGTCGCACTTGCAAACTCTCCACTTCCCATGGCAGTCTTTGTATGAGGATTCTTCCTCACATTCTGACTGTAAACATCTCCTCCCCATTGAACCATCGTTGAGCTGTGATTCAGGTAAAACAACAGGGTCCCAGCCGGCCAATACCCCACCTCTGTCCCACTGTATCTTAACCACCAATTGCTTGTATTTGTATCCTACAAACTCGAAAATGAAAATTTACATATGTTTTGTTTTGGAGAAAATCAGTTCTATTGATGTTGATAGTTTTTTTTTTTGGGATAAGAATCAAATGCTCATTCCTATGTAACAGTAAAAGTTGTATAGTATTTACCATGAAGATGCCAATAGGGATATAATACTGGGGTCCAGATCTACTAGAGCAAGGCTCAATGGCTGCACCAAGGGCGACATGGGAGCTTGTTTGTATGAACCCACTGCAGGTCAGGTCAAAACAGCCTGTTTGATTGTATGCATCCTTCTGTTCAATGTAAACATAAAATATTTCATAATAGAAAACTTTCAGATTAATTTCTATTGTGTTTGAAGTAGATGCACTACTTACAGTCCAGTATGCAAAAAATCGGGTTCGTGTATCTCCATATAATTTAGGATTCACCTGTAAAAGTGAAAGAAATTAGAATTTCTACTTTCTACAACACGTAAGTCCTCATTTGTCTTGTATATGTTAGCTATGAACTTCAAGAAATCATTTTCCGTGAACCAAATGGAGTAACTAACCACCCATCCTGATTCAATGCTTTCAAAATTGTCTCCGGGGCCTCCCCTAACCCAAATTTGACCAGAAGTGAAATCCTCCGGTAAATCAACCTTCGGATTCCAGACGTTTATATCTCCACTAGCTCCAATATAGTTGTATCCAACCGTAACAAGATATGCAGTCTGCAGTTTCAAAAAACCAGGAGGGATTCATCAGCGAAATAAACAAAGTTTTATGTTAGTGTTTGAGAAGAGTATTAAAAGAAAAGGTTGCTTACAGAACGAACTATTGGAGAAACTACAACTTCAGTGTTGTTTATGTGTATAAAGTGACTGCCATTTTGTTCTCTATTGTTTGATGTATTATGTGAGAGTTTTCTCCCAAAGTTCTCAAGTGAGGCTGCTCTGAGTAAGTCTTGCTTTCGGATTCTGCGGATGGGAATGGTTCCCTCCGAACAAGTTCCACTTCTTTGCCATGTCTGAACAATATGGCTTCTGTTACCCAGGTTCTCTATTCTTGCGTCGAAACTTGGTTTCATCTGCATACAGTGTTGCAGATTACCATGAAACAGAAGGGGTAGGAGGTCGAAAATTTTGTCATTTTCCCTAGAAAATAAAGAATGGTACCTGAATCACATGAGTCCTCAATGCAGGATGATCAAAAGCAGGTTGTTTGTGGATATCAACACAGTCAATGATGTCTCCATCGTCACTCTACATAGAATAGAACAGAGGGAATCAAAATCTGAATTTTGGTGCAGAGTACTCTTAATTAGTTGTGAAAAGGGTTCTAGGTTTAAACTTTTCTAATAGCTAAGCACTAATTGTCTAACTAGGAAAAAAAATATCTAAAGAAAATTTTAAATTAGCCATACCAATATACTCTTGACTGCAGGCTTATTGAGAAGCTTCAACTTCCTATCAACATCTGAAAGAGTTTCTCTAGATTTGGCTTTTCCATCTGCGTTTCTACTCAAACAAATTAAAGCTAGTGCCCATAAAAGAGTAAAATTCATTTTTGCCATTTTTTCTTTCTCCCCTTCTTGCTAGAAGAAAAACAAGATATGAATTGTAACTTGTAAGAGGCCGATTTGGAATGGAAAACAACCTTGAAATAGGAGAGAGAATGAATTTGTATAAAATTATATAAGAGTTTATACAATTCACCTTACTAGCGTGATTTACCTAGATAATCATGCATTTCTCATTTACATCTTTGATTTTTTAAGAATAAGGGAAAAGTGCAAAATGAGACATCTAAATGATATTTGCTGCCTGATTCACTTTGCTAATAATCCTTTCTTCGTGTCGTGACATGAGAAACTATTAATTAATCTCAAAATCATAACAAAAAAAAGAACAAAGAAAAAATAGATTTTCATAATATATCTGAGGGAGTTCACTTGGATGTAACAGAGAATTAATAAAAAAAATGGATGTTTTAGTGTTTAGATTAATTAGGATGGTGATATGTAGTAGAAAGATGGAGTATACATTGATACAAAAATATAATTAAAAAAAAGGGGGGGAAAAAGAAAAAGGACTAAAATGAATAGAAATGTTTTTATCTGGGTCATAATTTCAATTGTTTATAACTTTGTATCAATCTCCCATATTTTCCTACATTTCCACATGGCACAATTTTATTGGCGAGGCCGGCCACGCTGGGGGGAATAGTTCCAGAGAGCAGCAATGCCCAAATCATCCGCTTATAAATAGGGAAGCCCAAAACCCATCCACTCAGGGGGTGAAGCAGAAGGCTGAGCTTTGACGCCTCATCTCGCGAAAATGGTGAACTTTGCGCTCAAGATCGGCGCCGACTTTGAAAACATCGCCAGTCTCCAGCCTCAGGGCGGCTGCGACGATCCCTCCTTCTCCTACTTCTTCAAGGTCTCTCGCTATTCGCTACTTCTTCCTGTGTTTTTCACGCTTTGATCTGTCCTTTCGTTTGCTTCAGCTTATTTCGCTTTTCTTTTTCATTTCTGTTGTTTCGATCTTCATGATTCTTGCTTCTGTAGTTGTTTGATTACTTTTATTTTCTCCGTTCTGCTCTTTGATTTCCTTCTAAATGCGGCATTATCTGTTAAATCGAATCTCCTGAGGTCTGTTAATCCATATTTCTTGAGCTGTGGTTTATTTATTTTTAATTTTTTTGGTTGATTATAGATGATATTGTTCATAATCGTCCAAAATTTTCTCAAAATTTAAGGTTATTTTTCCCTATATAATCTAGTTTATTTTCAGTGGAATCTATAGTCATTCTTCAATTTTCTCCTGTTATCTAAAAGGAAGATTGCAAGGCACTAAAAATTGCTTCCACTGTTCATGACAGATCTCTGAGTTCTGCTCTTACAAGTTCTATGTTTAGGTTTTTCGATTCTGTCTCAGTTATATCTTTGTTACAGTTGTTTATGATGTTGCTGTTATTGTTTCATTTTTCTCGATTATTTTTATAGTTTGGATATGTTTTCGTCCTCTATAAGTATCTAGATCTGATGTTTCAACTTATACGTGTTATAGTGAAATGCTTGCCATTCTGTTTGGCTCTTTTTACTTCAACTCTACTTGTTCATCTTTCCCTACTATAGATGATGAGGATGATGATGATGTTGTTATTGTTATTTCTATATCCAAGCTTTTTATGATCTTATAGCATTCATTATTGGACTCTTTAAATCTCTGTTAAATGTATTTAATGTACGTTGGATTTCCTGATTTTGGTTGTAACACGGTATCTGTTAACATCATACTCCTGATTTATATTTTTATATGTTTATCTCTATGGATTTGCAGCTGAAATGTGGGAGTTGTAATGAGGTGACACAGAAGGAAACATGTGTTTCCTTGGGTGAAACTGTTCCTCTTCCAGTGGGTAAGGGAACTACTAATCTCATTCAGAAGGTAATCTGGTCCAGATGCCTGTTTTGTCTTTCAGTGTTTTGTTCTGCAGAATTATGAATATATTTGAAGAGAAGGTTATTTGAGATTTCTTATATTCATGATCTGTTTGATTGCTAGGACAGAGGGAAAGAGAAAAATTCTAGGTTTTAAAAGTCATTGTTCAACTTAGATTCTATACTTGGGATGCTAATTCAAGTTGAAATCTAAATATATTCATGGAAACTGCAGGAAGTATGATAATAATTTATGATCAATATCTTGATATTTTTAATCTTCCATCACTTTGCAGCTACCAGCCTACCAGATATAGCTACTATAGTTGCCTCAAATTGTATCTAATTATTACTTTGGTTTTTTGAAGTTAGGCACGACTTCATTTCATGTTTTTTGAGCTAGAAAAGGAATTCTAGTGTGTTGGATTAACTTAAAATAATCAGTTTAGGTATATGTTAAGAACCAAGGTTTAAGTATTCCCTGTCTTCATCCCTAGATGAAACAAACTTTTTTGAGTTTAATCTTTGCATACATTTGGAAAAGGCATCACATAATTCAATAGTCCAATTGTATATCTACATGCCTCTTTGTGGTTAGCATGTATTGTGTTGATTCAGTGATCTGATTGATACAAGTTCTAGGTTTTGTGTTGATGGACTCTAATGGTCCTGGCACCACCTAACCCTTATAACTTTAGTTTCTTTTAGCCTTCACATTCATGTCTTCTAGTTGTAAACAAATAGATTTTCTATTTAAATTGTGTACTAGAAAACAATGTTTTTTTTTTTTTGGTGAAACTCCAATATACTTGTCCATTTCTTCCACTTTGCATTTCTTGGAACTGTCATATGGTTGTGGATGATATTTTGGTGCCTTTCTTTCACTCAGTGCAAGTTTTGTGGAAGGGAAGGAACTATAACAATGATCCCAGGGAGTGGTTATCCACTGACCCAGCGCTTAAGTCAAGCAGGGCATGATTCTGCCGTGATGGTATTTGATTGCAGGGGTTATGAGCCTGTGGATTTTGTATTTGGTGGTGGCTGGAAAGCTGAATCTGTAAGTCTTTATTCTCCATGCTCTACTTATTGAAGACGAAGCTTTTTTTTTTTTTTTTTGGTGGCACATCAGATAATGGGTTATCAAATAAGGAATAGCCTCCCGTTTCCTTAATCCCTCCCCACTCATTTTAAGATTTGAACTTGAGATCTCCAACTTGAAGTCTCAAGCTCTTAACCAGTTGAAATACCCCCTTGGAGCTGAATATGAAGCATTTGTAAGTCTATGGTTTAGTTGCCTTATTCCTGACTTGCTAGCACAATTTTAAGATCCTGTTTACTGTGCCTCTTTTTACACCTTGTCCTCATATATGTCTGCTTTATGTTGTTGTTACAGTTGCATGAGTTTCTGTCTCAACAGACTTTAGGCACATATCTAGTCTTAGTCAGTCCTGTGCACCGGCACCTTCCCACTTAGATCCAAATTCAGGAATCTGATTGAAGTTTTTGGCCTATATCTTACAATGAAGTTTACTGAAGTTTTAAATTCACTTCTTGATGCTGGATATGTTTTCATGGCAACTTATACTACTTTGTTTTGCAGCTGGAAGGAACAATATTTGAAGACATTGATTTGTCGGGAGGTGAGTTTGTTGAGTATGATGAGAAAGGACAGTGCCCAGTTATGATCTCCAACCTTCGTGCCATTTTTAAAGTGTGGTAGTAAGCGGTACCCTCACTACCGTAGTCTCCGTAAATAAAACTGACTCTTGACTCTCTCAATGTGAAATGAAGTAGAAACTAGGGTGGAACTGCTTTAATATGACATGTTCGTATATATACTTACGACAGCTTTCAAGTTTCAACAGATTGACAAATCCCGTTATATGTTGCTCGTTCTAACGATGATGTTTTGAATCTAAGGCGAAAGTTGCTCTTTATATGGATGAAGGAATGATGCATGTTGTTCTTCGTTAGTGATAATTAATTGAGAATGACCTTTGTGTATGTTATTCTCTCACTGGGTCGGGGCTGAATCTCGGTAGGAGTGCAGGCACCTACCACTCATCTAATTGGCCAGGAATCTTGAATATAATATTATTTGATGGTAAGTCCTTATCCGAACTTGCTCTATCAGACTTCACCTAGACAGGCTCTTTCAAGTATCTTTAGACGAGTTGTTGAATCCACGTTTCACATGCTCGCTGGTGTTAAATCGTTCAAAATATAAATCAATTATGCAGTTTTCAAATTCACTTCATCGTGTAATTTTCTTTCAAAACAAAATCAACTGATTTAAAATTTCTATTAATTTATCTTGTAAATGACAAGAATTCCAAGAAGGTTGTGGAAAACTCTGACCTAGTTTCTTTACTTTTTTACGCAAGTTGCAAAAGAAAAGCATCATATGCTAAAACCACTTTAGTTGGATGAATACTAACAAAATTTTGAATGAAACGTCATTGCCGTAGGCATGGAAAATAGTATGATATTGAGGAGATTCAAAGAAATCAATATTTTATCCAATCCTCATATTCCACTTTGCCTCAATGACATTAGGGCTGCGCCGTTCTGTTAATTTATGCATTTGATTATGATCGGTCCCCCTTTGATTAGGACGGCATTACCAGCAAAGCCAAAAAAGTCATAAACCCTTCCTCCTCGAGTGCCCTAGTTAGCAACCGATGCAGATGCACCCATGCCATTTTCTATTTTTACATCCCCGTTATATCCCTACAACACAACCTCATAGATGTAAAAATCCAAGGGTACAGAACTGTCTTTTTGCGCAACTGACGTCCCAACCGCAAAACGTGGGGTGCCCATATCATTTCTAGATGCTACGTCTTCCTTCTTTCTTGCTTTCTCTATTTGCATGCCATCAAAGAAAAGTCGAAACCGTAACATCTCAGCATTTCATCATATAGGCAGGTGTTCATTACCTATTTTCAAAAAAAAAAAAAACAAAAAACAAAATCATATAGGCAGGTGAAAACGTGAAAGGCGCAGACAGACAAACACCAACACCAAATTAGCCAGCAAGAGTGCCTAAAAACCACCCCAGAGTCTTCCTGCGTGAACTTAAAACATTCTAATTTCGTTTGGATTCCTTCAATCTCCGCTTTTCATCACCTTTTTCTCTCCCCATATCTTTATCCCCAAAATTCTTTAGATTAATCCTCACTTTTCTTCCATCAGTCTTACGAGACTACTGAATCTCATTCCCAAACTTTCGTTTGGATTCCTTCAATCTCCGCTTTTCATCACCTTTTTCTCTCCCCACATCTTTGACCCCAAAATTCTTTAGATTAATCCAGACGTTCCAGGCTATTGCCCATACTTCCTCTTCCTATTGACTATATTAAAAATTCAACCGCAATTCAAGCAGAAATTGATGTGAAGGGCATTTATCCTTGCTG